GTTAAATCCACGCCGCATATTATGGCGAAAGAATCTTATAAATGTAAAGTGAATCGTACACAATTTTCTTTTTGCCTTGTGTAAAAAGAGGAAGAAGAAACTTATTTATATAAAAAAAAAGATAAGGGTTTCCGGTTGTGTTGTACGCCGTACTTTTTCAACTGGAAACTAATAAACTAATATAAATTCGCGCATAATTTCCGCCTGAATGTTTAACGCGTTGAAACAAATTTATGCAATCGGCGAACGGAAAAACTGTTTTACATTCCCCCCCCGAAGAGCTTTAGTCGCGAAGCTGAGGAAAGTTTTGCACGTTCTTACGTTTGCTGGCTATTAGATGAATGTAGATGACCTGTAACTTTATACATAATTATTTCCATCATTTTCCGCAATCGCGAGGATAAGAAGCTCGCAAAAAACACATCTACAGCGATATGTCAACGAATTGTCAATATCGATTATTTTGACAGGAATCCTTTAACTTCAAAAGCAGGTTTATTTGCTCGATATGTTTGACGAAAAATTATCGTTGCGAATCAACGGAAGTAAATTTTCCTTGCGAATCTTGATTACGACGAGATGTCGAAGAACGAAAGAACGCATTAGGACGAGTCATAATATTAGCAGACAATTCAAGTCCCAGATCGGACGGCATAAGCCGAATACATCGTCTAGAACTAATTATCTCGACTGTCGAACCGGATACCTTCTGCAGCAAATGGTTCTTCGCGAAGCATCGAAAACGGAAAATAGGGACACGCGTGGAGACGAGACGATGAGAGAGGTCGGTGACTCGCTCACGCTCGCCTGTCTAACGACGATCCTATCATCGACTAACGGGGCCCGCGGCTTCACAAGTTTCGTGATCGTGACGTCGGCGTGTCGTCGTAAGTTGTCGTCGTCGTCGTTGTCCTCTTGTTGTCGACATCGATGCCGTCGATCACGATCACGTGCTATGTATAGCACGGCCGAGCAACATTTTATTCGGCTATTTGTCTCGGTTTCGGCGGATAAAAGTCGAATCCGTGCGGGCTTTTTGTTTTTTTTTCTTTTAACAGCGAAGATGCCAGCGAAAAGATCCTTCGACGGCCGTGCCGAAAGGAAACTCGTGTCAAGAGACCATCAAAGCGTGACCGAGATCCTCTTCGCTCTCGGACATCCACGTCTGACCGACTTGCAGTCGATCGAATTAACCTCTCTTCCCTTCTCTCCGCCGTTTGTATCTCGCCTTCGGTCTGCAGAAGATTCTATCAAGCTGACACTGTGCACGGCGTCCAATCTGATTTCGCCGAAATCTCGCGATTAAATCTTTCGCGATTTAAGTTCATAGAGAGAAAAATGCGAACACGACGGATGACAACGAGAGCGCGGAAGCGAGATAAGGGTGGGTTAAAGATGGTAAAAAGAGTACTTTGTAGATGTCAAACTGTCACATACAGGTATACTTGCGCCGAGAGGGCCCGATTTTCTTGAGAAATTCGCCGTAAATGGTCGTCCCGGTGCGTAAAATGCTCAGAGATCCTTTGCATATCCGCGTCCTGCGAATACCTTTACTTTCCCCGCTTCTCAGACGCTTCGCTAACGTTCCTTTACGTTCCTTTACTTCTTGCCGCACCGTTAGATTATCACGTGTGCTTTCGAGCTCGCGTTGATGGTTACGACGGCATAAAAGACACGAACGCAAAATGAAGGCTAACAACGATCGCGCTCCCTTTGATTTTAGTGCGTCGTGTCCTTTGGCAATTATTCGGCACACGATGATTACGTAAAAAAAAAAAAACACCGCGCTTAGAGATCTCAAGTCGCTTACTTTTTATTTCTGTTCGCCAGATGTTCGCGGCACGAATTACAGTGGCTCACGCAATTGGAACGCGATGCCATCTTTCAACCGAATCTGTTCCGGTCATATAGTTAGTTCTCGAAAAAGTGACACGGAATGAATTGCGCACGATTCAGCCATTAGATCATTTTTACGTCATGCAAGGACTTCCAAACACATAAAAAATATTAGAAACGGTATATCTCGCACGAAAGAATTTAGAAAAATTTATCAAATTTAATTAATATTAGAAAAAATTAATTTTATATTCTTTTATGGAAACAAGCATATATGATAGTTTAATGAAAAAAGAAATGATTCGATAGATCCTACAGAATTATTGTTTTGATCGTGATCTTTGTCAGTTAGTGAATTATTATCGTATCCACCTTGAAGCATGTTCAATGATAATAGTTGAATTTCACAAGATGTTATTTCAAGCATTGGGCAATTTGCTACGGAATTATAATTTATACACGCATCTATTTTAGTTTCCTCATGTCGGGAGCAAATTACTGGTACGTGTTATTCTTGACAGATGCGCTTGAAAAATATTATAGAACAATACCACTCCTCCATAGGTATAAGATCTCATTCCGCCATTTAATTAATGCCCACAAGTCCGACGTCTGCGGACGTATAGTTTATATTAATTATACCCCGGAAGATTCAATTAGTGCGTTTCTCATTACACTTACTTATACCTGTATCCATTATTCATGAGGAACCACCGCGGTAGCACCCTCTGACAATGCACGTGATCCTTATAATTCATCGTTGGAACCAAATATATAGATGTACCCACCGTGTATATATCAATCTTCTTTTCTATATATAAGACGCGCGAAATTTATTTCTGGAAACGAGAAATTTATTTCGATATGATATATTAAAAAAATGTTTATTAAATGTTAAACCGCGTTTTTATATCTATGTGAGAAAAATAAATCTTTTGATCTTATATTATAATTACGGTAAAATATACAACTTTCTATTCTCCTTTATAAACTATTTTACGCTAACTTTATAACACTTGTGAAGATAAACTATTATTTATATCAAATGGATACCGTAGATAACTTATCTTTGAGAAATTCTTGATAAATCTTTGAGAAATGTTTAGACATTTACTTTTATTATTTAAGTCTGTAATTAAATAATATTGAAGCATTATTTCATACTACAAAAATTAAAAGAGATGAGAGAGAATAAAACAAAATATAACATATATATAATAAAAATACAGATAAATAACAATAAGACTGAAATAAATTTACTACGATGCGGTTTATTCGAGATTTTATCAACATTCCAACATTCCACGAGTTAAATATATTCGCGTATGTGCCGTAAAGGCATTCAACAGCGTCGGGAAAATAATAGGTCAAGAAATACTCGAGAAAAAGTGCACCTCAGACGACAATATATGTGGCTCCATCGGATGCAGTCTCTCCTAGAAAAATCAACCGCACTGAAAGTGCGAAAGCTGTTTCGTACTCTGCAAAAATTTAAATAAGATTCGAACACGCGAACGAAAACGGATGCAATTCCGGAGGTATTTGCCAGAGAGCACGAACTACTATTCGTGTTATTCGCTAAAGAAATCAATAGCACTTGATGAAATGCATTCAGAATTTATTAACTTTACAAATTTTACGCGTGTTAATCCGAGTTACTTGATTCAATTTTATTGTACATATTTATTTTCAATTTTATTATATATATTTATACATTTTATTAAGCTGTATATTTTAAAATATCTTTTAAAATATTTAGTGCAATAAATGATACACAATACACATGTAATTGAATATATATTAAATGTATGAAATGATGATTCGGAAGAAAATATCCAATATGTTGAAATCATTTGGAAAAAATAAAAATTAACGCGTATTATGCAAGATAATAATTCATGACAAATCGTTGCGTGTGATGGAAATAGTTATGCGCGATTCGGTATAGAATTTTTAATATTTTTACACGACATGCACATTGGAAATTTTGGGACATTAAAGTTTTGTTTAAAATATACATTAGAATTAAATTCTCTTGTATTTGGTGTAGAATGTACAATGATTTATACGAAAATATTCAAAGAACATCAACGAGAAAATTCAATCATCTCATAGCGAAAAAATAATTTGCATTAAATTAGGAAAGATATTATTCTCTCATCATATTTTTAATTTACATAATAAAATTTATTTTTATCTTATAATAAATTTATATTAATATCCTTTTTTAATCATGTTAATAAATAAATACAAGAAAATGCATTCTATTAATATTTACTATCCACAGGAATTAGTAGCGTACAATCTTTTGTACGCATTATCCTTAATCCTTAATCAATTCGCGAAAAATTTATCTCTTTCTTAATCTTTCCATTATTAATGTATTAATTAATAGCGAAAAATTACGCGTACAGCTTGTGAAGAACGTGTGATAAGCACATCGACCCGATTCTCACCGACGTGAGTACCGGACGACACCGTCTATTATCCTTCACGTTTTGTTTCGCTTATTTTCATCCGGTAGATCAAGGCAATTGGTACCGCAGGCATTGTACAGAAAATTATCGCGCTTCGCCCAAAGCGATCCTTACATTACACAAAATGTTCGTACTAGAGACTGATGTGAAACGATCTTAACATACTTTGGTTATCCTATGAAGCGCCGTAATTGCGCAAAACAACAAGAAGATGCGCTGGACCTCGAGGCTTGCTCATCCCACATGTACATATGGAAATCTAATTTTAATGATAACGGATCGAGAAATATTACTGCATCTTGATTCTCTCGCCTTTCTAAATATTGTACTGCCGTTAGCCATTTATTTTCATTCGAAAAAATCATGATACTGTTCCATAACTTTATCTATTAATTTATACGGTGTACAATCAAACCCCATGAAATATTTTTTAAAAAATTTCTACAATAGAAACTATTTCATTTTATTGTCACGAAATTGTAAAATATCTCCACTAACGTTAACGTGTAATGAGGCAATATAGAAGCTCATATCCCGCTAATATTTCCTTTATAAAAAAAATCACACACATGCACCTTAGAGCAGTTATCAAATGGGGCAGGCTTCAGGAGTCTGCTAGCATCGATGCTTACATAGTCGATAGTTCTCACTAATCTTTACAAAGATACGATAACGATTCAATCTTACCTGGATTGCTGTCGGCGTTAGAGCTGAATAGGACGCATAAGCCCGTCTCGTAGTTGACCGCCTGACAGGAGTCGTTTGCCTGACAGGTCTCGAGGCAATCGGTGAGCATCAACGTGCCCGGTATGGACTCGAGCATGTTTGTGGGCGCGGTGAACACGTAGCCGGTTACCAGCTCGAAGCCAACCATCTCGGGATCGCATTCGTCCGAACCTGCGGACGGTCCGGTGTAATCCGGGCCGGAGAGACCGGACGGCACGGATGCGGATGGCGGTGACAGTTCGGCCGCGTGCGTCGATTCCGCGGAAACCGCGTGTCCGTACCTCCAGACGGCTTGCAGCAGCAAAAGTAACGCGACAAGCTGTCGACGATTGTACAGTCTCGTCATTGTCGCACCTCGTTTGGACGCTCAAAATGCAATAACGTCGCGAACGTGTGTAATCTGCAACGAAAAATTTTACACGAGATTATTTATTGTTTTCGAGAAACAAGAGAGGTATCGCGTGGATGGCTTTCATTATATCTCCTATTGGATAGAGTAAGGCTCTGGTCTTGAGATATGAGATGATTCAAAAATAAATATTGAATCATTAAAGACTCGTTATATTTAAAAATAAAAAGATCGAAATCATTTATTTTCCGCGGAAGCTTGATCACGTTCTCACGTAATCTCAGAAATATAAGAATCCAACAGGTTTTCACACACTTTTGAGAATTATATAACACTATGACGTGTGTGTGAATGAAATTGTACACATTTTATCATGAGGAAGAATTTTTTTGATATTTATTTTTCGCATTATCATATTAATTATATGATTTAAAAAAGCTAAGAATATAAAAAAAGGAAAAACTTTGAATACACAGATAACATCAAGTTTGCTGAATCTTGTAGCGTATTAATGAAATTTATCACTTTACTACTGAAATAATAATAGTTCTTTCTGGAGTTAAGCGAAGAATGAAACGACTATATATAAAATTAAACATCTTAAAGCGTTTTCCTTCATCGTTTCTTTTCATGATGGGGCTATATTTTCTATCGCTTAAACGAATTCAATGCTCTGTCGGATTGAATAAAGGGGAATTAACGGAAGTAGGAATTAACGGGATGGAATGTATCGCCGTTGGTCAAGTGTCGTGCTGCTCTTGTTAGAGAACGGGAACGGGAATAGTAGATTGGAAAATAAGGTTTGTGTCCGCATTAATATATATAATGCGAGCTGGAACGGTGTTTTCGACAACGACAAGTTCTCAGGAATTTTGTACAAACTCGCAGAGATTTTGGAGCAACGTTCGCTTAATGATATTGAATATGGCTGATAGGCAACTTGAAAAAATAAAATCTTTAGGTATATGTAAAATTTTTGTAGAAATGACATCTTGAAATGATTATATTAACTGATAATTATTCCATAAACTGATATATTTTCAAATTAGTATGGATTAATGCGGTTTTATACATTATTAATGCGTAAACATGAAATACGATTATTGAACTGAAAATATTTTCGAGAGCTAAAAGATATAAATATAGAGACCATTTATAAGTCTGTTAAAAGTCAGTGTATCTACATTCATAAATATAAATAACATCACGTATTTGAAACGACAAAATCAATACAAAGAAATTAAAACGACAATGAAAATATGAAAAACATATAATCAGCGTAATATGGCAACGGCAATAAATAGAGAATCGCTCGTGTTTCCGTTTCACACCGTTGCATATAAATAACAGCGCGTCGTGCATATGCGGGAATTTAAATCGCCGGATACTTTTGTACACCACTATGACCCCCCCATGGAATCGCGGGGAGGATCCGCGCAAACTCTGGCAGTTTTGTTCCGCTGAAAATAGCAAACAACGAAATACAACATCGTGTTTCACAATCGCGACGAGTACGTTCTCCTACGCACGTGTTACACGTTAAAAAATAATTACACCGACGCGCGTATTGTCAATGTGCCATCGGGTACACAGTCGAATTCCGGAGAACACGTACCTGGCCGGGAGAGCACGTTCGATGTATCAATGTCGAATTTTGCGGGAGGCGAGTGCCGGCGATTTGCCGCTGGTGCGATGTTGCACGCTTGCAATTCGGCGGCGCTTTATCCTGACACTCGTGCGCCGCGCGAAGGCGAATTCCACGGGCACCTTTCTCACGGAATCGCGTCGGTAAGCGCGCGCGAGCGAACTTGAAAGTGGCCGTTAGCGCACAATATGCTGAAACGGTACACACAAACGTGGGCTAAGCTGTCGGCGCGGCCGAGAGAGAAAGAAAGAGATAGCAAGGAAGACAGAGAGAGAGAGAGAGAGAAAGAGAGCCGGCGAAGAGAAGACCGATTACTTTTGTTTATCGCGCATGGCGTAAGCACCACGAAATCACAGACGCACGCCGATTCGCGATGGTGATGCGGGAGACTCTCGTAGACCGTCTCGAGCCCGCTCACTGGAGATATAACTATGTCGGCCGACTGCCTCTTAGGCACTGTGTACACCTGGCCTATGCGGCTCTCTTCCACGAGCGACCGAAGACGTCTGCCGGAGGGGACCGAGGCCGCTGCGGCTCTAAGGAGGACAGAACGGTACGCACAATTCGATCGCCGATACAACACCATTGAAAACATCACCGCCGGTTTCTTCTCCTCCTCTTTCTCTTTCTCTTGATCGGCTACCTCCTCGCCGCTATCCCCGCCCAGATTCCCCGGTGCATTCGCACTTCCCTCTTTCCGTGCTTTTTACATTCTCGGTCGGATCGGTCACGTCGCTTCGTGAGCGGTTTGACTCGCGTCGACAGCGCGATTTCAACGGGCCCTAAAACCTCCGCTGCCGCCCACCTACTTTGGAATCTTCCGACGATCGCGCATTCAACGGGGTTTCTATTTCGCACGATGACGCTTACATTATATACGTGCTCACGCCTGGTAAGTCGTGACACTTTACGCGTTAAGTCATACGCTGACAGGGATTTACTAGCCCCTCGACATCCTCTTATTCTCTTTTGGAATACGTAGTCTTCGGCATCGTTTATATTTGATACGTTCTTTTTCGCACGTTGACAGTTAAGATACCACGAGTGAAGGGATCTGACAGCGAATAACTAAACGCATTATCGCCCGACTCGGGCCTCACCACGGTTCTACATAACCGTGGGAGATAATAGAGTGTATTTCTTTCCCTTATATCGCCTCTCGGGTCCTAGCCCAATTCTTTCGCGACATAACGGACCGGTCGCCTCGAGGTATCATCGTCGAATCCATCAGAAATTTAATTTATCTCGCAATTGCGTTTCCGCGTTTCCGTTAGGGTGAGAGCGGCATCGTTTGTAAGTACGCCACGTCGACAGATTCGCAAATCTATCCGGCCGCAAATCGTCGCACAACCGCACGCGCACACATCGATAACGCATGGGTATCAATTTTAAAGATACGGATATTGGATGCTTAATAGATAATCTAAGTGCTCGATACATCAGAGAGAGTCATGTTGCAAGCTCGCTACACGTATAGGAACCAGCAGAAATGTACGATACACCGACTAGCGAAGGTAATTTGCAGAGAAACGAGACAAAATCTACGGACGCGAGGCGCTCCATGTCATTAGTCGGTACCTGTTGCGATCGTGCAAGACTCGCGGAATCAGCCGATGATGCGTGTCGGCTAAAATAATAATTATGCGACGGGAGAACGCCCGCGTATCTGGAATCTCTGAGACGCGCGGCGAAACGATGACCTGGGGGACGAGCGAGGGAAAAGCAGGGATCGGTCATTCAAAGAGAGCAAAATTGAATGTTCACGTGTGAACAGCGCGACCCACAGCCGGGCGTCAATGTCTCCGCGGAAACGATCGACGCTCGGTTGAGCTTCCAGCGCGAAATGCACGAGAGAAAAAGAGAAGAGAGGAGAAGGAGAGAAGGAACGAAAGAAAGAAGACGGGACTGGAGAGAGGGAAGGACTGGGTTACGGGAAGGGGGAGCAGCGGCTTCGTACCAGGTGCCTATACCATCGCGTCACCATGGCGGAATAACGGTTCCTGGATGTCCCATCGGGTTCAATCGCAATCGGCTATCTCGCGCCGCGGAATTTCGCAGGGAAACGACCGCTTCGCCGCAGCCATCGATTTACGAGCGGCCGCTATCCGTTCGCCCTTGAGTGCCCATCGATCCGATGGATCCCCTCGCCTCGTCGATCGCCTTCCCTCCTCTCCTGTCCCCTTCGCGCCATAATTTCGCGGTCGTGCGCATCTTGCGAACGTCCTCCGATAAAGGGGACAGCGACAGTCTTACGTCGTCGGCTAGCAGGTTTTGCGAGCACCATTGGAATTACGCTCGAGGAATTACGTTAGAGACGGTGCGACCGAACGAGATGATGCTCGCTTCCCGCAGAATCTAAGGAAACGATCGATCATCACGATATAGTCGCCGATTAGTCAACCTCGCGGTTAATAAACGTTGCAGAATAGTCTGGATGTTATTAACGTACGCGCGTTAGTTATTATTAATAAAGTAATATTATAGTGCGCATCGGGGCGGTGCACGTTAGAAGAACGATCACGCAGCGCGATAAGATAATTACTATTAGCAATCGGTGGCAATAGCATCAACGGGGCACTCTAGATGCGCGCGTACCAAGCGTTACCGGGCGATGCATTAACTTGTATCAACCGCTCCGGATGAACCGAAGGGATCCTTATGGAAATTGAACGGATAATCAGTACTTACTCCTATTGGATTTGTTGCACCGGTTGCGTTGCGCTAAAACGCCAATCGATTACGCTTCGCGATTTTCGATCGCCTCCTTTTCCCTTCTCGTCTATTTTCCGAGTGTGATCGGGACGTCCGGACAATTTGGCCGGTCGATCGATTAAAATGCGTCCCCCCGACTGCCAAATATGTTACGAGGTTGCGACGAGGTGACTCATACGACTTACGCGGGTGCCCCCCGCACTCGCGCCGACATTAACGGACACGCGACTTATCGCATAACGGCGTAAGACCGTTCCCGATACCCGTTCTCGGTCAAGCGGATTCTCAAAGTTATGCAGAAGGTTACAAGAGTGCCGCACATTCGTGAGCGTGCGCGCCACGTCTGTGGATTCCTACGTTCGGCCACGTACGGTACGTATCTCCTTAGATTTATGGACGCTATCAGCAATCGCGTCAAGAAAGAGAGTCGCCAAGTGATTTAATTCGTACCACTTTATCACGCGAGATTCTCGCTTTGAGCTGGCGCTAAATTTCCAATCCCCGTGAGTTAGGTGTACGGCTAGGGAGAAGTGACGGATACATGCGTGCGAATTTTACGTGAAATAACGTTTCAGCGGAAATATATGTACCCTTGAAACTTGTGTCCCCCGTTTATCCATCGAGCTTCCCCCTTTTTTCGCTCGTCCCACCTGTTTCTACATCTACTCTCGAGCACTTGATTAAATTAAACGATTGGAACATTCGCCCGTAAACATTCTGTAACATCTCTTCAGCTGATCTCAGTCAGAAGCTCAATCTACTCTCGCGTAACACGGACGGCAACAAGATAGCGCGGCCATTGTTGACTAACAATTTCGCTCGAAAATTCACTGGTAATCTCTAAATCCCCGTTCAGTTCGCGCCACGTCGTGTCTCGCATACCAGACGAACGGATAACGTCTCTCTTCGGTCGTCGCGACCGTATGTGTGCGGGTTAGAGACGAGAGCTCGTTACGTAATTATTCGACGAGTCGGGACGGTGTGCGCTCGGTTTCCCGGAAAGCCGCATACCCGACTGCGCCGACTGCGTCGTTTTAAAGCAATACCGATGAGAGAGGCCTTTAAGCGCGCTCCGGCCGGCATCGACCGCCGGTTTGGGCCCCGGTTGATCGTCGATCGCAACGGCAGCGCCGCGAATCGAGCCGGGGAAGCCTCCGTTAATGGTACGTTCCGTGTTCGGGTTCGACGCGCTATGCGTCGACCAGGAAAATGCGAGGAGTCGGATAACCAGGAAACTGGTTTATGCGTGGCTGCGCTCTGTGTGGCTCTCTAAGTAGGTATCTACCACCATCTTCGTAACGCCGCGCACACGGACACGTCGGCGGGAGCGAGACGGAGACGCGCGAGTAGAATGGAACAGAGCTGGAAGGAGAATTAGATATGGGGAGAAGACGAGAAAGCGGACGGATGGAGACGGGAGAGACCGGAGGAGGCAAGGGAAGAGAAGAAGCGGTGAAACGGCGCGGATAAGCTGCGAGCACGAACGAACACTCGGAAGGCAGCGAAGGAAAGATGAAACGAGAGAAAAGCAAATCGCAGGAAGAACCCTATGGCTATGGAACTTGGCGGACGAGCGACTTAAGGATGACACGTCTCTATCTCTCGTCTTCTCGCTCTCCATCTCTCTCTCTTTCTCTCTTCTCTCTCCCGTAGCTTTATCTCGTCGTGTCTGCTGAGATACTGTCGTGGCCGCTGATGAATCCGTCGACGAAGGAAGGGTAGAGACGGGCGATTTCGGAGAAGCGGGCGAGCCCTTTGCCGCTCGCGAGGCAACGTGGTAATTAAACTTTGGTCGCATTACGCTAGTATCTCGCTCCATTCTCTGCACCTCAAACTTGTTCTCGCGCGGGAACGTTTCAACGAAGTGTCGCCGAGAGATTGATGGTGGCCCAACGCGGTAACCTCTCTCATTCCCTCTCCGTTTCTCTCTCTCTCTCTTCGATCCACGCTGCCTCTAGGCCTTTAACGTCGTGCTGCGCTTGATTTCCACGACGTGTCGTGCCTTTCCTGGTTCTGTCCTCTCTCTGGTGGTTCTCTTATCGCGACGGCGCAGGGAAGGTGGCGTGTTGCGACTCGTGCGTTCAATCGCGATAGAAGATCTTGTCACGAGGCTGGGAGCGGCATTACGATCCGCAAGCTCGACTCTCCGTATCGCATTCGCTCGCTCGCTCATTGCGTGAAGCAATTTATTTGCATAAAGACTAATGCGCCGGGGTGGTAGCTCCTCGCAATTTTTTTCCATTTCCCTCCTCCATCTCTCTTGCATAGTAATGCCCCAGCCTCGATCCGATATTCGAAGCGTACGCGTACGTATCTGCGACGAAGGCCTCCTCGCGTTTTACGCAGAAAATGTACATTTGCGTGTCAATGCACTTGTCTTCCTTCTGAATAGCGCGTTATCGAATCCTTCATTCAAATGACGAGCGTCCATTATGGAAGCGTAGCTCCGTAAATTCGAAAGAAGCGAGTGTATCTCGCGAAAATGTGTCCCATTGAATTTTCTACCGCATGAATTTCCCGCGTCCCATGAGGTCGAGATGAAATGGATCCAGGATTCGTACTTTCCGCGATGTACTCCAAACGGGCGTCTCGAGGTGTTTAACGAATTTTCCGAATTTTGATCGCTGTTAAATAACACGATAGACGCGACGTGTCTTTCGCGAAACGGGCAGCAAGTAGAAATACGCCGGCGCTAGACAGACGCACTCACGCAAGGTCGTGAGACACCTGCGAGTGAATCGACGGTTACGCGCGCATAATAGAACTACCGCTCTCTGATTGTCAT